AAAAAAAAAAAAAAAAAAAAAAAAAAAAAAAAAAAAAAAAAAAAAAAAATCCCTTCCTGGCTGTTACCGACGGACGATCATGACTTTGGGGCACTCATTCTGGGCAGCACGTGGACGGCGACCACCTCCATCCCCGGCGGCGTCGCCTCAACCCACAGCCGCGGTGGCGACGCTACCACATCCACCACCACGATTTCCCTTCTACTTCCGCTGCACACCACGCATACTCTGCCGCCGCCGGCCGCCATCTGAACCGCCCCTTTCAGCCGATTTGACTCCGTTACCTCTTCCCAGAAATCCCTTTCCGGATCATACCTTCTCAGACTTCCGGTGACTTCATCCACCACATACATCTCTTCCTCCTCCATGGTCGCCACCGGCCCTCTCCAACCTCCGATCATCCCCTCCGACATCTCCTCCCACTCATCCCTTTCCAAATCATAAACCAACCCTTCTTTCCGCGCATCCCCTTTCACATTCACCATACAGAGCTTCCCCCTCCACCCCACAGCATCAGTGGCGTCTCTGCTAAATCTCCCATCCTTAAGTCCACTCACCTTCTCCCACGCGCCACCGTCGATTGGTTTCAAATCCCATCTCTCGACGGATCGAGCGACATCGGTGGAGAAGAAGGAGCCGATTCCACTGGCGACATAGACGGAGCCGCGGAGAGCGCCGGCAGCGCACCAGCGGCGAGGGGTGGGGAGAGGAGGGGCGAAACGCCAGGAATTAGAAAGAGGGGAAAAGAGGAGAGGGCGAGGAAGGGCGGGGAGGAGGTTGTGGGTGGTGGCGGCTAGGAGGAGGAGGTGGCCGGAGACGGCGAGGGACTGAACGGGGAGGTGGCGGGAGAGGAAAGAGGGGTGGTGGATCAAGAGCTGTAGAGAGGGGGGATTAGGATGTGGAGGGAGAGAGGTCCATTTGGAAGAGATTGGATCGAAGTTGAAGAAATCGATGGAATCAGGGGAGGAGGAGAGAAGGGCGTAGAGGGAGAAGAACGGAGGGAAAGAAGGGGAGTAAAGGAGGCGCCGCCATGACCGGCAGACGGAGAAGAGGAGGGAAGGAGGAAGATGGCAGAGGCAGAGTTGTGCCACGTCATCGGGGAGCCCCGGGAGAAGCGGCGGAGAGGGGCGGTGGCGGTGGTGGTGATGGTGGAGAGCCAGTTTACTGCGCTTGGGGGTGGGAGCAGCGGCGGTGACCATGAGAAGGGGTTTAATGGCGGCGGTGGCAGCGGCGGATGGACTGGAGAAGGAGAAGTGGATGGGGAACAAGACGGTTGGCGGTGGCGGTGGCGGTGGCGCCGCTCATCTCTGAATTTGGGTTTGGATCATTTCATTGGACGGCATAAAGTCTTTGCTCGGCAGATACGAAAAGCCAACACTTTTCTCTGAAAGCCCCAAATATTGGCTTTTATACATGTATAACATAAATATTACATAATTACACAATAGTCCCTAATCTTTTACAAAATTTTCAATTTAGCCCTCTCCTAAAATTATGAATTCTATCTTTACATATTAAATTAAAGAAACAAACCCATAAAGGAATTTAATTGGCTTTATTATGGGTTTGAGTCAAATATACTCAATTTACTATTAATTTTATAATATAGTTTTTATTTATAATACAATTATACATACACATGTGGATCTTTGCCTCTTTCGAAACCTCGAGGACTGAATAATCATCTAATCCTACATCTAAAGAGTGAAAATAGAGATGTCCACGAGGTAGGAACGGAAAAGCCTTCTCCGTCCCCATCCTTGCAAAAAAAATTCATTTATTTTTGTATAAACTGGAGCAGAGATTACTAAAAAAAAAATATGAAACAAAAAAAAAACATAATATAATATTTAATAAAATTTACAAAAACTCAAATTTCACAACGTAATATTTCATATACATACGCATATAAAGTGAGTAGAATAGACGAGAATTTGGGCAGGGAAGGAGTCAAGGTATATAAACTCCATTCCCAACTCCATTTAGCTAAAGAAATGAATCTCTATCGACTCCTTCCTCTATTTCTCATTTAAATAGGGATTAGACCTAATTTCATACTCGAAATAGATTTTCCAAGGACAGTTTCAAACCGCACGAATATAGTGGGTCGAAAGTTAGATCATACACCTGTTATCTAATACAGAGTCCATAAATCATATAACATGGACATAGGAGAGTTCAATATTTCGATAGAATCCTAATAGATGGATGTTAAGAATGTTCCTGATATTATAAACAGAATAAGGGTCCATTCTCAACGGGTATATATACGTCTTAAATGTGTAAGTGGGAAGGGGAAGACTTTGAAGGGGGAAGACACGAGAAGGGAAGGGTGGGGTGGTTAGATTGCAATCCCAATCCATTAATATTTAGAGAGAGAAAACAGAGACGTAATGCATAAGAATAAATTATAAAAGTTTTTTTTGGAAGGAAAGGATGGCTATGCTTGCTTGCCCTGCTTATGAATACTCACCCTAAACTCATTAATAAGAGAGAGAAATAGTTGAATAACAGTGATGTTGGGCGAAGGGGATTGCACAGGATGTGGCTGTAAATGCTACCCTTTCCCCAACGCCTCTCTCCCTCTCCATTTAATTTTACATTCCTATATCACACACTCTATTTAGATGAATATGTTAAGAATTTATATCGATGAGTATGTATAAGAGAGAATACAAAAAAATGGAAAGTAAAGAACTCTCGTTAACACAAAGCATGCACTCTATCTAGATGAACTCAAAGAATAACACAAAGCATGCACTCTATCTAGATGAACTCAAAGAAATATGAGATAAAAAATGCAAAGAAAACTCTGACTTAGGATTTATATCGATGAGTATATATAAGAGAGAATACAAAAAATAGAAAGTAAAGAACTCTCGTTAACACAAAGCACGCACTCTATCTAGATGAACACGAAGAAATATGAGAGCAAAAATGCAAAGAAAACTATGGCTAAGAATTTATATCGATGAGTACGTATAAGAGAGAATACAAAAAATAGAAATTAAAGAACTCTCGTTAAGAATTTGTATTGATGAATACGTATAAGAGAGAATACGTAGAATAAAAAATACATCCTCCTAGTTCAATTTACTATATATAGCTATATATCAGACAATAGAGAGTACATTTAACCATAGTCTAACCTTTACCCCTTTTTAAATTATTTAACTTTCGATTTAAATGAACCACAACCACAGTTCTGAACAGCCTAAAAAGTGGGCGTTGTCAACTATAAAGTATAAATATCAAAAAGCTGATTTTGTCGTCTAACACCTTGCCTTATTCATGACATCAGTAGCGTGCCTGCTTCTTCTTCCCCTTTCATGTGGTCCCTTTTTTCTTTCTTTTTTTTTCCCTAAGATTTACATGTATCTAACCCAAGAAAGTATTCTTCTATTTATTCTCCTGGTTCTTGGGTTAAACTAGTATACTATCGGGGATGAATTGATAGGTGGGGAGTCTCGAGAGGTGAATTGTGCGAACGAGATTCCACTCAAGAATTTGTTCATGTGTGATTGAGTCCTGTTTACCTATCGCTTTAAAATGAAGCTGAGCTAGCCCTACATATGAAGTAATAGGTGGAGGTCTACTTTCTATTAGCTTTTGTAGTAGCGAAGAGGCAAAAGAGACTACTATCAGCTTGAGGTTGGTTAGTTAGACCTACGAGCCTACATCAGAAAGGTTGAACTACTAGTGTAGGAAAGTGAAACCACTGAGGATTTGGAAAAGATTTTGGACCAACTTAAAATTTCGAAATGGTTATTCAAGCAACTCACAATATAATTCATAATTCCAATCCAACCTAACCTTCTATTTTCGGGTTGCATTGTGAGTTGGTTATTCAAGCAAACTTGAATAGAGTTCATAATTCCAACCCAACCTAATCCTCTATTTTCGAGTTGCATTGTGAGTTGATTATTCAACCAACTCGAATAGAGTTCATAATTGTCCGTTGCACTCTTTTTTAACTATTTTAAAAAAATCTTACTTATCTATCCTATACGCGGTATTAATAACTAAAATCTCATAAAACTCAGATATCAAATATTCACAAGTCACAATCTATTATTGACATCAGCTACAAACGTTAAATATTCTATCTTTATAATCAGTAGAATTGGGTTGTAACCCTATTTTTCAACCCAACAAAAAAAAGATAATCCTGCAAACTCATCCAAATTTTCGATTTATCAAAAGATCAACCCAACTCAAACTAAAAAATAACGTAAATCAAATATTATTTATAAGTCAAACGTAAAGTTCATCCTTAAAAGAAAGTTCTAAGACTTAGAAATAAAAATTCAAATCTGAGGTATATTGACAAAATTGTTTGCTTTATTTCTTAATTTATATGAATGAAAAATAAATTAAGAAATAAAGAAAACAAATCAGGATTGGATCTACAATATTAAAAGAAAACGTCAAATATTGTGGCTAAAAAGTAATAAACACACACATATATATATATATAGTTGCCAGAAATTTGGTCCATACGAGGTAATCAGTTGGGTTATACAAATAGAAAGGGTAAAATGTGAAAATTTTTACTCCTTGGTTATTAATAACTATTATTATTACTATTTGCTCTAGTGGGCCCTGGCTTCATTCTACTCCACCGCCCCTTTAAATGCTCTACCTATCTAACTGCAATTTGCTATTCCCCTACCTCACCCCACCACCACCAACACCTTTAATTATTTAATGTTCCTACTCTTTAAAGTAATGTGTTTTTTTTTGTTTTTTATTTTATTTATCAAAAAGCCTTATAATAACTTCCCACTACTTTTATTCTTTATTGTTACTCAACTTTTTTTGTATTGTAATTATATGTATGCATTCCTATGTTCGTACCAGCTTTATGCATTTATTTTCATGCTTTTAAAACCTAATATTAAATCAATCCATCAAACTTCAACTATAAAAGCTTCACAACCCAATACCCAATAATTATTTATGCTTTATCAAGATGATGTTGAAAGTATAATTAGATATTAATATATATTCTTAGGTATCTCCTAAAATCTATACATTATTTGAACTAAACAGTATATATATATCAGGATACAAAAATAAGGGGTTAGTTCGGGATATTTTTTTGGGCAAAACTAATAAGAATATATATGAGTTGGGTTGCATAAATCTTTTAAACTAAGCTTTCAACTAAGCTGAAATTTTTGGTTTGTTGGATATGTGGCTAGAGTAACGTGAATAAAGTTCATAATCAAACCTAACCTAATCCTCTATTTTTGGGTTGGGTTATCTTAGGTTGTAAGATTATTTTTTTAATTATTAAAAAAGATACATACTTATCTATAATATATGTTATATTAATAACTAGAATTTTATAAAATTTAAGTATCAAATATTTACGAGTCACGATACATCACTAATATTAATTACAAACATCAAATATTTATAATTTTCTTAATAATTTTAAAAGTGGGACAGGTTTGGTAACCCAACCATATAAAATGCTAATTTTCTTATTTTTTTAAAAAATGAATCCAATCCAAATAAAAATATTAATTTAACTTATTCTTTGTAGTTTAGGTTGGATAGTTGGAACTAATAAGTTTTTCAGATCATATAAAAATTAAAAATAAAATTTTAAAGATTTTATCAATAATTTAAACTAAAAATAAAATTTTAAAGTTTTTATCTAAGTGGAATAATATCAAATTATTGTTAATATACATTTTGTTAAGTATTTTAAAGAATTTAGAAGGTCAGCTATTTCTAAAATGAATAAACCAAATAAAAATTCAAAGTTTGGATAATATACAACACGCAGCATAAGAAGAAAAGTTTGAATTAAAAGTTGAGAATCCGTATAAAGTGAATGGAATTCGAACCAAAAAGGTTAATATTATTATTATCAACACCAATATTCCAAAAGTTGTACTAGCCTTTATCTCAAGTCCATCTCATTGTACTATCTTTGAAGGTACATTTTTTTTTCAAATATCCTATATTTTTACTACATAAAAATATAACCTATATCTTAATTAAATTGAGCAGACCTTAATGTTAGGTATTTCAATCCATGTCTGTTCTAAATAAATCTTTTATTATGATCAAAGTTTAATTTTGGCATTTATCCATCAAACAAAAAATTCTTGTTCTTATTATTATTTTTGGTTAACAATATGCATCCCATTTGCATTTATTATTGTCAATGTGGTCCATAAGACGATGACTCTCGGAAGGGGACAGAAGTTTTCTAGTGATTGAAAGGGTAGTGAGTTCTATTGAACTTCAAGCTTAGTTTTCGACTTGTGATGTCTTACCTTCCTTTTACTCGAGTTTAATACATTGTGAGTTGATTGAATTTATTGGTATCCTAACTAAAATTTGCAACTAACTGTGTTCTTAAATTTTTAAAAGTGTCTTGTAAATCTCTACATTTTCAATTTAGTGTCCGTCCTTCAACTTTTATTGTGCTTTTATAACCTTTAAAAATTTAAAATTTATAAAAATAGATCTATCTATAAAGTTGATTTTTTTTTGTTTAAGTGCGTGTTTTAAATTTTTTGAAACTTAATGTATTAATTTTGTAATTTTAAAAGTTAAGGACCAAATAAATATAAATCAAAATTTAGAGATAAAATTTATAATTAATATTTTTCTTATTATTTATTTTATTAAAAGTGGTCTGGTCTCTTGGCTGGCCTTAGTCCATTTACTTGGGTCAGTTTACTGAACCATTGAATGGGAGGCCTATATTGTTGGGCCGTTTTATTAATAGTTTTTATACAATTTTTTAGTTTTTGCGTTCACTTAGTAAACCTAAGAAATTTCACAAAAATAAAATAAAACTACTTCAAATATTTTTTAAAAATTTCCTTACCTTTTACAAAGATTTAAGTGTGGAAAATACTAATTTAAAAATTAGACACGTAAAAGCAGTTATTTATATAAGCTTAAATTTTTTAAAAAAAATAGAAAAGTAAAAAGAATTATAAATTAAATTATTATAAAACTATAACCTTGGATCCAAGGGATTTGGATCAGCAACCAAGAAACAATGGTTTGGTCCGGTTTTTTTTTTTTTTTTTTTTCCTGTGTGCGTGTGATATTAAACATTTCGTTTTTATATTTAAGAAGACCGAATATTAAATATCTCGATTTTATCTCTTTTTGTTCGATCATTAGTGGATGAATTTGCCTAATTCTAGTTTATCTCTAAAATAAATTCAATATAATCTTTTAACCATTTAATATTTTTTTATTTAATTCGAATTTAAACCATTTTTTATAAAGAACACAATCCAATTGATTCATTTGAATGGTTGAGATTAGGGTTGAGGCTTACCGGTAAGTGTGGAGACGATGGTTTCGGAGGCGGACCATAGGCCTTCAGCCAAATGCGCGGATTTCGTTTTGCATTCGCAACTTCCTTGATCGTTGCAATCCGCGAAGTAATTTCCATTCACATTTTCCACGTTCCGATTCGTGGCTACGTAACAACTTGTTGCTGCACCTTCAGGAATTGTCTTCAACAACCTTGATTTGGACGCCATGTAGAAAATCAAATCTGCATTCTCATTGAATTAATTATCTGTATACGCTTTTTAGATCGATTAGTTTCCATGCAGGAGCTTAATTGTTCGGTAGTTCGTACCTGTGACGAAGCCTTCGCGTTCTCTGTTCAAATTGGTTTTCACAACGCCTGGATGAACACAGTTTACCGTAACATTCGCCTTCATTTCCTGTTTCGATTGTGTCAAAATCCAACGCGGACGTGAAATCATTCAATTAAAATGCCAATGAATGTGATGTATTGAAGAACCTGGAGTTTGTGAGCGAGTTGAACAGTGTGCAAGACATTTGCGAGTTTGGAGAACGCGTAAGCACGTGTCGAATCGTACACTCTGCTGCAAGTGAATATCACTGTCGCTATGATCAAACCGCCAGTAATGCATAAGCGAAGGGAAATTAATCATTATTCATACCTGTTTTTCTGGCTTATCTGGCCGAGATATTCGAATATGTCGCCCGAAAACCAGCTATGGATGTTGGACGTCACATTCACTATACGGCCTTGGACTCCTGTCGATTTGGCGGTTTCTATCATCCTATTCAATAGAAGTTTCGTCAAGAGAAAATGACCTGCATCATCGGTTCGTCAATAATGGTAAAAGGCCTCGTGATTAAAGGAGATGAAAATAAAATTGTTCTGTAATGTTCTTGCCAAGATAATTAGTAGCGAAAGTCATCTCAATTCCGTCTTCAGAAAACGCATGTTCGTAACAGAACCTGCCTGCGTTGTTTCTGAAAATTAGAACGAAACTGAGTTTTAGTTTCTTCGGTAAATTAAATATCGTGTGATCATTCGATACAACAGAGTGAATTAGCGACGTGTTTGAGTGAATTACATGAGAAGATTAAGAGGCAAATTTAACGACTCGAAATTGGAGACGAAGTTCACGACGGAATTCACAGAGCTAAGATCGAGAGCCATAACCGTGATTCGTGAATGATCAAAACAATCCGATTCGGATACGATTCTCGCCTTCGCTTCCTCAGCGGCTTTTAGATTTCGAGCCGGAATGATGATCCTTACACCGCGCTTGGCCAAGACTCTCGCCGTCTCCTCTCCGATTCCCGACGTCGCTCCTGCTCCGAAATTCGTTAGCGAGTGAGAATCTAATGAAATGTAATGGAATCAGAATCAAAATTCGGAAAAACAACCTGTGACTATGGCGGTGATGGAGTTCATACAAGATTCACTGACTTCTTCGGCGGTGGATTTAGAGCCGTAGCCGCTTGCTCCAGCGGAACCGACGAGGTACTTGAACATTTCAAGCATGGAAATGGAAGAGCGCGAGACTTCGAGGAGACGTTTTGAATTTGGTTTGGGGAATACGAAATTGTGAAATGAAAGAAAATAATATTAATTAATTATTTTAAAATAATATTTTTTTAGGGAAAATAGAAGCGAATCCACCTCGATTAACTATAATTAGTTTTTTCTGTTTTGGTGTTTAGTGTAATAAAAAACAAAAATAAGACAAATATATCATATTTGGTTTGACACGTTTATACACGTAATCTATCATACTCCAAATAATCCATCTACCTTATTATTCTTAATTTCATTCTATATTTGCTAAATATTTATAATATAGCTTTAAAGTCATCCCGATATTAGTAACTAAAGATATTTACTTAACCTTTTAGGTCGTTCTCGGGAAGATTCACCCCGAACTAGTTAGAAAATTACTGTTTAAACGGAAAACAAAGGAGAGAATGAAGAGAAATCTCTTCTCATTAGCTGAATGGGAACGAAAATGGAGATTATATTCTCGATCCTCGACCCTAAGTTGAATATTATATTATATATTTTTTTACTAAATAATATTTGATTTATTTGGAGGTTTAAAAATTTTTAATTTAATAATATTTTATTTATTTGGATGTTTTAAATTTTTTTAATAAAAAATAGGAAAAAAAAAACATTTTAAACAAGGTGCAGCCCAAAATGTTATGAACCAAGCCCACCTTCAAAGCTTGACTGAATCATTTATCACAAGAATGGTCTGAAATCTTAAAAATAACAAAAAAACGATACTCAAATTTCTTGGACTGAAAGTCTCCACTCGAGAGCTCAATTTCATTCATTTCTTCACCAATTTGAAATTCTCGTCTTCACGAGTTAACCGAACGTTAGGGAACCATATTCCTCTATATCGTCCTTATGTTAGATAACCGAAAAATATTATTCAATAAAGTCACCACAACATGACTAACTCTCGAAAGTAGATTAAAAAAAATCTGCATATTTCCGAACGAACTACTAGACATAAATTTGTAACACTCTCCCATGTCCAATAATGTAATTTTCGTATTACTATGGTAGTTTTCTCGAATAATTTCTTACGAACCCGAGTCGTAAAGGAGGGCAATTATGTAAATTTGCCTCGTAGGCCCATATTGTTATAAAAGCCCATCGAATGTGGAATTAAAAAACACAAATTAGAAAACGTTGAGGAAAAGGACAAAAAGAAGAGGAGATGACGTCATAAAAAACATCATTATTCCCTAAAAGAAAAAAAAATGAAACTGACAGCACATCATTCCGCGCGTCTCTTATGTCACGGCAATATTATTATAATAGTAATTATAATTAGAATAATCATGATGGATGGCGTGGCAGTAGGATACTCATGGGGACCACAGGTGGTCCAGTAGGCCGGCCCACACTCGAACACTCTTCTGAACCGCCCCCCTTCTTTGTCACCTAAATAACCGGCACTTCTTCCCCCCTCAAAATTACCGCCTCCCTCCCTCTCTCTCATTTCACACGAACAATTTTCTTTTTTAAATTAAAAAATATATCTTTTATTTTAATAAAATTCAAATAAACTGAAAAATTAAAAATTAGATATGAAATGACGTGGAAATAATTTAGTTTTTTTAAAAAAATATTTAATTTTTCATAAATATTTTAATAAATTCACTAAAATAGATATTTTAATAAATTTAAAATTTAAGAGGAAAATCTTAATAATTGAAAAATAAAAATCAGATTTAAACTTTTTAAAAGTTTTCGATATGATTTGGAATTAAATTTTTCCATAAAGACAAAAAGGTTTGAATTAATTCAGATTTTAACGATGCTGACCAAAAATAAGTGTCCCTTTTAATTTGAAATGATAGTTCTTTTCTATTTTCGTATAATTTAATTAGTTAAAATAATATATATTATCACCGTCCAGTGTCTGGCTCTAATACCATTTGTAATAGTCCAAGTTCACTGCTAGCAGATATTGTCTATTTCGGCTCGTTACGTATTGTCGTCAGTCTCACGATTTTAAAACACATCTACTAGAGAGAGGTTTCCACACTCTTATAAGAAATGTTTCGTTCCTCTCTCAAACCAACGTGAGATCTCATAATATTTGATAATTTTGCATGTGTTCAACATGAGGGGATTACCTTGGCCCTTACCCGTTTGTAAGATCCCACATTGGTTGGAAATGCGAACGAAACATTCTTTATAAGAGTGTAAAAACCTCTCCCTACTAGATGTGTTTTAAAATCGTGAGACTGACGGCGATACGTAACTGGTTAAAGCGAACAATATCTACTAGTGGTGGACTTGGGCTGTTACCCATCAAATTTATGGACCGGCTCGAGTCTAGTTTGATGCCCTAATTTTCATCTGCACGTATTATTAAACCGAAAAAAAAATATCCGAGTTAGTGGGAGAAGTGGTCCAAAAGAGAGGATGTGGGAGAAATAGAATATAGTAGTGATTAGGGCTTTTGGTTACTAAAGGTAGGGAGGGGCCACACATGGTTTTGGTTTGTTTTGGATTGATGTGGTGTGTGGAAAATGGTGGCCTCCTTCTACAAACCCTAGATTGCAAGGAATGAGACCACATTTACGATAGTGACAAAATGGTCGGTATATAATAATTATCTCAATGGTTAATGAATCATCGACCCGATTCTCACAAAAATAAACAAAAATTTTCACAGAAATAAGAATTGAAATACGAGGCGTGGACGAGGATGGACGAGGTCAGCCTCATGGTTTTAAAACGTGTGTACTAGGTAAAAGTTTCCACACCCTTATAAGAAATGTTTCGTTCCGTAACTTATAGGTCCCATGTGTAACAGTCCACGTCCACCCCTAGTAGATATTGTTCGTGTTGGCCAGCTATGTATTGTTGTCAGTCTCACGATTTTAAAACACGTTTACGAGAGAAGTTTCCACACCCTTATAAGGAAGGCTTCGTTCCCCTCTCCAACAATGTTGGATAGACCACCGTTTGTTCGAGCAATCGAGGCTAGTATCTGACTTAGACGACCGTGTGTTTGGGCTCGAATAGAATATATAAAAAATAATAAATGTGAAGGGAAGGCAAGCAAGCATTCTTTGTCTTGTATTGACAGCTTTTTCTTCCATTAAAGACATTAGATTCCTTTTGCAATTATATATATATATATATATATATATTTTCCACAACATTCTACACTATTTCTTCAACTTGAAGATACCCCACTATGGCCATTCTCAATTATTTATTTCTCATTATTTGTCAATTTTTTAATTAAAAAATTATAATTTAGGTCGTGAAAATGATTGCTCGTTTTAAATTTAAACCGACGTTAAATTATTAATCGATAAAATGATAATATTATTTTTTATTTATATATGTAAGATTTTCCGTAATTTTTACCGTTGTGAAGTTACGTTAGTATCTCTAGGAGCGTTCGTGGATTGAGTTGAATTGAAACATTTGTCAGATGTAACTTAATTGTTCGAGTGGTAATTTTTTTTTCTTTTTTTTTTTTAAATAACTTCATAACCCAACCCAACCCAAATAACTTCATAATTCAACCCAAATAACTTAATTGTTCGAGTGGTAATTGTTTGAGTTAGGTTGACCGAATATTTTGGGTCATTAGATTTTTTAAATATCTCTATGTATCTCCGACACAAATACATCTGTTACTAGCTAATAACTTTAAGAAGATGCTTACATGACGCATGGACGGGAAAAATACGCACTACTAGGTCGGGTGCATCTTTGTACATAAGCACCGAGAGGCGTGCACGCTTTTTTAATGTTATTATACCTTTGGCATTGTTACCTCTTAGCACACTAATATGCACTTGATTTTACCAAAATCATACAACTATATACCTATCACTTTTCTTACCATTTTCTCCCCCATTTTCCTTTTAACTCAAGGACTTGTATGTTATGCAATAAAGATGTAAACGAGTTGGGTTTTGTGCAAAATGGCGAGGATCGATGGTCGTTGCAAAGACAGTACACGATGTGACAAGATAAGAATGGATTTACTGTTTGACTTGTGTGAAGTCAGTCCAATTTGAGCATAGTTCAGTGAATAAAACATCTATTACCATTTTAAAAGTCGATGAACGATTGAACTCAAAAAGTATAATCAGCTCGTTTTCACGTTAAAATTGAACATTACTTTAAATTATTTACCGTTTGACTTGTGTGAAGTCAGTCCAATTTGAGCATAGTTCAGTGAATAAAACATCTATTACCATTTTAAAAGTCGATGAACGATTGAACTCAAAAAGTATAATCAGCTCGTTTTCACGTTAAAATTGAACATTACTTTAAATTATTTACCGTTTGACTTGTGTGAAGTCAGTCCAATTTGAGCATAGTTCAGTGAATAAAACATCTATTACCATTTTAAAAGTCGATGAACGATTGAACTCAAAAAGTATAATCAGCTCGTTTTCACGTTAAAATTGAACATTACTTTAAATTATTTACCGTTTGACTTGTGTGAAGTCAGTCCAATTTGAGCATAGTTCAGTGAATAAAACATCTATTACCATTTTAAAAGTCGATGAACGATTGAACTCAAAAAGTATAATCAGCTCGTTTTCACGTTAAAATTGAACATTACTTTAAATTATTTACTGTTTGACTGGTGTGAAGTCAGTTCAATTTGAGCATAGTTCAGTGAATAAAACATCTATTACCATTTTAAAAGTCGATGAACGATTGAACTCAAAAAGTATAACCAGCTCGTTTTCACGTTAAAATTGAACATTACTTTAAATTATTTACCGTTTGACTTGTGTGAAGTCAGTCCAATTTGAGCATAGTTCAGTGAATAAAACATTTATTACCATTTTAAAAGTCGATAAACGATTGAATTCAAAAAGTATAATCAGCTCGTTTTCACGTTAAAATTGAACATTACTTTAAATTATTTACTGTTTGACTTGTGTGAAGTCAGTCCAATTTGAGCATAGTTCAGTGAATAAAACATCTATTACCATTTTAAAAGTCGATGAACGATTGAACTCAAAAAGTATAATCAGCTCGTTTTCACGTTAAAATTGAACATTACTTTAAATTATTTACCGTTT